CTGCGGGGAGCTGGGGGCTTGAGGGACAGATGCAGCCTGGCAGGCAGGTGGCCTGGGCTTCTGGGGGCAGCACAAACTGCCACCTGTGTCATTAAGCAGTGATTTGGAGACCTGCATGTTACTGTCACCATGACACAAACTGAGCTCCTACCACCTCTCCAGAAAGGTGTGCATGAGGCTTCTGAGGGCCCAGCCCACCCTCCCTGCCCCAGGCTGGGGTGGCACAGGGATCAGAGAAGGGCTGTGTGAAAGAAGTTCTGAAAAACAAGAAGCAAGAAGGTGGGAAGGGACCTCTGGGACCCTCTGTCTGTAGGGGAGAGTACGTGGCCAAGAGACATGATGGTTCCACAGAACTGCTGCAGAAGATTGAGCAGAGCTCAAACAGATCTATGGATGGAGACAGAGGACCAGGAGGCTCAGGGGCTGCAGTGGCACTGGGGGACACACTGGAGGGCTTTTAGAATAGAGATATGTTTGTGAGCAGCTTTGCCTTGGACACACTGCTCCATCAGAAAATCCTCTCTAAGGTTTGACTTCCTGGGTGCAGTTACTCATAAACCAACAGCTGCTCCAGGGCCACCTGGGAAGAAAATGGGAAGGTTCTTAAGTGCTTTGGAGCTTAAGCCTATGGGAGTTGACTGACTGGTTTTAGAGGTAATTCATCCTGCTCTTCAAAGGCCTCCCCAGATTGATGCTGGAAACCAGAGAAGTCACTGGAGAGTGGAAGGGTGATGCTGCTGCTCCCAGCACCCTGGAGGTTACTGCAGCAGCCCCTGCCAGCTCCCAGCAGGGTGGCTGGGAACATGTTTCTCCTCTAAAGACCAGGAGAGGGATGGGGAACCTCTGCCTACACACTAACTGTCCTCACTCTAATAGCTGGCCAGCAGTGCCAAGGGACAGCCACTGCTTCCAAAAGTTGGGGACGTGTGTTTCCAGCCCCAGATGCTCTGTGGCTTGGTCTTAAAGTCAGTGACGTGTCACAGCCCGACCTGATCAGTCCATAGCCACGTGCCCAGGTGCCAGAGACCCTCCCCTAGGCTGTGGGATCTGGAGGGAAAGGCAATGGTCTGTTAAACAAGCAGGGAGTGAGTAAGACTGATGGCTGCTCTCTGCAAAATATCTGCACAAAAGAGGATTTAGAGAAGCCTGTGGGCTTGGAGTTGCAAAGGTGACACCTTCCTGGAGGAGGAGATACCAATCTTGGAGAAACCACTGGCTCCCTCACCTCCTGTTAGTTGGCTGTGCTGCTTCCTCCCATCAAAAGTGGCCAAAGGAAGGGTGGGAGTGAAGAGTCAGGCTGTTTGTGCATGACTAGCAAATGATTTCACTAATTTCCAAACCTGGGATAACGTTTGGGTGCCTGAGTCTGGCAGGAAAGTGTGTCCCACCTCAGAAGGAGCAGAGGCAAACACCCAGTGCTGGCCCCCAGGGCAACAAACCTCTTGAGAAGTGATAGTCAGAGCTTGTATCTGCTCTGAGTAACATTACTCTGGCTGCAACCCATGCACTGAAAACAAAAAGTTATCCAAAGTCTACAAGGTAAGATTCACCAACTGTTAAATGGACACCATTTGTGAGGGGAGGAACATTTTGGGGGCTTCTGTGTGCTTTTTTTGTGCTAAGGTTAGGTAATAACATATTTTTGTTAGTAATATGGTCTTCACCACCAGCTGAATGGCCTGAAAAGAAGTCTGGGGAGCACAGTTCTCAGCACACACAAAACAGATCTATAAGCAAATTCCCTGGGACTGAGGAAAAAAAATCATGGTAAAGTTCAAATCCATCAGACAGATACAGCATCATCAGCTAAAACATGCACTGGGAGAAGAGAGGAGCAATTTATCAATTGGATAATATCAGGCTTTCAGGGTTTGAATCAGACATTTGCTGCCTTTCTGGAAAAATCCTCTAGAATTCCATGGCAAGTTTGAACACTTTGGGTAACGTCTGCAGGGCTCATTAGCAGGGACACAACAGTCACTGTCAAGTTGTCTCTTTGCTGGAATAATTGTGTCCCAAAGCTTTTGTGCACAAAATAGAAATGTACCATGTCCTCCCCCACTCCCCAGACCATGGAGGCTGGTGGGTTTCTGGCTGTTCCTATGTTCCCATCATCTCTCCCCTTCTCACTTCTCTTCCCACCTTCACCCTGCCCCACATTGGGCAGCAGCCCCAAAGGACCCATCGCGTGTGTGTGCCCTGCAAAGCACCTCCCAACACAAGCCTTTTGATCTTTTCCCTCTATTCAATTCTACAGGATTTTTCCATTAACAGGCATAAATGGCCTGGGGTTGGAGTAATTTGCTGAACAAGAAAGAGAAACTGCTTCCTGGCAGAGTCACTGTCGTTCCCGTCAGGGCTTTCCAGGGCAGCCAGCCGTGCTCATCTCCGTGGGAAGAGCAGAGCTCATGGAAAAAGGGCTGCCAGGTCACCCCAGACATCATCCCACGATGAGTCCCAGGGCCAGCTCTAGGGAAAGGGCTGGTAGGAAGAAGGTGCAGTGTCTTGGCAGGGGACATCTTTGTTTGCAAACGAAGCAAAATGAGCAAAGGGCACTTACCGCAATCTCTGTTACCAAAATATCAGTAATACTTCCCAACACTGTGACAAAATCAAAGACATTCCAGGCATCTCGGAAATAATTCTGCCAAATGAAAACACAAGGGGGGGGACAGAAAGATCAAGGGGTTATTTTTCTTGCTTCAGCAGAGGTGGGTTTTGGTGCTGTTTGCTTGTTTGGAAGTGCACGTCATGAAGTGCAAGCATTTCAAGGAGAGGGGGAGGAGCTGAAAGGCAAGGAGGAAGGCACGTACCAGCACACCAAAGGCAATGATCTTCAGCACACATTCCATGGAAAACATGGATGTAAACACAATGTTCAGGCATTTCAACATTTCTTCATATGCTTCTGGAGCATCATAGAACTAAACAAGACAGAAGAAAGGCCATTACTACTGGGGGACCACTCACAGAATAAAACCTTCCCCAGACTCCTGCTGATTTTTGTGTCTGGTTCTGTGCTCATTTTAAGCAAGATTCATGGTTACAACCCAGCTATTCATGCCAGGAACAATCTGTTGCCTACATTCTATCCTGGTGGTGCAACTCCAGGGCTGGGGGGCTGCTGCCCATCTCCCTGTAAGCACACCAGGGGTCAGGAGGGAAGAAGGACATTTTCTAACCCAGAGGACAAGTGTAGGAATGTGGTTTGTTCCAGCAGACCAGAAGAATATGGTGACTCCTTGGCTGTGAAGATACTCTCAGGAATGGGAGGGGAGATCATCCACAAAACCCAGCCACCTGCATCTCTTCCTCCTGGGCACTGTGGATCGCGTCCCAGAAGCCTGTCTGTACCAGAGATTTGAGCAATTTCCCTGGATTTTGAGTGTCCCCAAGAAATGACCCTGCCCTGCAGCAGGAAGCTCAGGTTGAGCTGCGAGCTCAGAACCCGCAGGGCGCAGTTCCCGCCCCACTGGCCACAGGCTGCAGGGGCTACAAGGCAAACCAGTGCAGTACAAAGCAATCCCACGTCCTCACAGCTAAAACACATCCCTTTGGGGATGAAGGAATCCCAGAAGGCACCTAAAAATGGCACGAGGCAGATGAGAAGTGGCAGTTGCTCCGGTTGTTCCCCCCCAGCTCAAAGCACAAACCCCCTCCAGCCAGCATCCCGTTCTGCTGGTTGCAGAGATGCACTAGGAACCCACTAACCTTCATCATCAGGACAATGGTATTGAGTGCAATCATGACCATGATAAAATACTCAAAGGGAGGGGACACCACAAATTTCCACATCTTGTACTGAAAGGATTGCTTGTTCTGAGGCATGTAGCGGGTCAGCGGCTTGGCACTTATGGCAAAGTCTATGCAGGCCCTCTACAAAACAAAAAGGGGATGAAAGGAACACACACACACACACAAAAAAAACCCCAGGCTGGCAGTCTCTGTCACTTGGGATGTTGCTGGGAGAGTGAGCAGAGCATCTGGCGGAGGTTGGTGTTTCTATGCACAATGGGAGTACTGGCTAACCCTGTAAAATACGGCACACAAGCCACAGATTGTGATCATTTTTTTTGGAGCTGCAATATTCAACCCCACAATGGCTCCCTGCAATCCTAGGAGACAGCCCTGCCAGCCCAGTCCAGCTCCCAGTAGGTCCCAATCCTGCCCCAGTTAGGGAAAGGAGTCATAAATCCACAGGCTCACTTCAGAAACCACTGCAAATTCCTCCTGATAAGTAATTACAGAAACCAGAGGATTGGTAAAGATGTTATCTGGGTTTAAAAACAAGTATTGTGAAACTCAGGTATGTTCTCACACACAGCAGGACCTGTCCAGCTAATAATACTTCATAAAATGACCTCAATTAATAAATAACCCAACAAATATTACTGGGTGAACTCTCAAAGATCCCCTTAGTTGGCTATTTCTGTTCACACTGTTAGGAGTAAAAAGCTGCATTAAAAATGTTGTTTCTACCCACAAGGAGTTTTGATTCTGGAGTATTTTCTTATCTTGGATTTAGAGAAGAATCCAAAGTCTTAAATTGCTGCAAAAACACACTTGAAATATTATGTGGGTAAAACATCCCTAAATATTCTGCTTTATTTTGGACTTTTTGTACATATAGACAAACAATTCATTAGTTAATCATTGATTTAAAAAGCATCTCTTTTCATCAAAAATCAGGTTCCAGTTGCAAAAGAAATGAAAAGAGATGGTTCTTTGCACAACAGGTCACTGGGGCTGTGGGACCCCAGGAGAAGAATGTTGCAGATGCTAAAAATCTGCAGGAGGAAACTGGTTACATCCATGGAAGAAAAATACACAGATGCCCCTAACTAGAGATAAACCATGTCCAACTCAGGAGGTTCCTGAGCTGAAAATGAAGGTATTTGCTCAGGCACTAAAGAAAAGCTTGGTTCCTGCTTGTCCTGGTCTTACCCTCTTCCCAAAGCACCACCTTTTGGCTTTCGTCAGGACAACATCTCAGCCAGATGTCCAGCCTGGTGACAGGAGCTTTCCTCTGCAGAGCTGGAACAGCTGTAGCTCAGTTTGATTTCTGATGGCTGACCTCTTAAAGGCCAAAGCTTTGTCTCCTTTCACACCTACATGCCTGAGCTAACATGCACACCTACCTCCCCTCAGAAGCAGAGGTCAGGTCCCCAGGGACGTGTGACAAGGCTCCTAACATCAGGCATCCTGGGGGCTCTCCCTGCTCTTGTTTTTATGCAAAAGCTGAAATAGTCTGTGATTTTTTTTGGTGTCTACACCACAAACCCTCAGGTCTAAGCCCCCCATGGCACGGGAGGCACGAGGGCTGAGCTCCCACTGGTACCCAGGTGCCCTGAGCCCCCAGGTGCCAACTCCAGGATACAGAAGACGTGGGTACCTCGTTTTTCTCGAGGCTGCACTCTGACATCACTTTATCTCCTTGCTCTTGGAAGGTGATGATGATTAACGCCACAAAGATGTTGACAAAGAAAAAAGGGAAGACAACAAAATACACCACGTAAAAGATGGACATTTCCATTCTGTAGCCAGGGCTGGGACCCTGCTCCTCGTAGGTAGCATCCACCGAGTGCTTCAGCACACTGCAAGCAAGGGCAAAGAGAGAAGACAAGTCAATGACACTGGTGTGAAGCACCAATGACACCCCAAGAGCCACTCACTGGCCTTCAGTCACGTGGAGGGTTTCTCATGTACACTCAGGTCAAACTCATTCCCAGCTTTTGTGGCTGGGAAGAAGTTTTCCTTGAGGGTTTTTTAAGGGAAACCTTCACTCTTTTCACCATTCTGCAGAATGATGGAGGTTCTCTAAGTACAGATCCACTTATCCCCTGTGGATGAGGGGAGAGGATACAGATAGATCTGGCTTCCCTTCTCTGGTCAACAGGGATGGAGGAAGGGTGGGGAAAGAAGGGTCTTGATGATCTCTGAGTAGGTGAACACACTGAGGGACTGGAAAAGGGAGACTGATGTATGTTTTATTCTAGATTTTATGAAATAAACATTGAATGTGGAGGACAGGGAAGACCCTGGCCATGGAGAAACCCTGGCCATGGAGAAATCCTGGCCATGGAGAAACCCTGGCCATGAATTGTACTCCACGTGTCCCAGAAGAAAAATGTGCCAAAATAAAGTCATATGCTGAACAGTGAATGTAATTTTGGGACTGTCCTACCCAGCATACTTTCAGTATAGGTCAGAATACTTTTCCCCCTCATTTTCTTACATTTCCATGACCAATTTTACACCTGGAAAAAGCTTTCAAGTCCAAAAGACTGAAGCAAGCAAGATATTGAGTGCTGAAACCTGCCAGCTGAGAGGAACACTGAGAAACCTGCAGAGCCCTGCCTGCTGGTTCACCCAGTGATCACACAAGGGGAGGGAAAAGCTTGGCTGACAAAAGACTGTGCTTATTTCAGGTCACCTGCCATTTACATGTCTCTCAGAGCTGTGGAAAGCTGTCATTACCTCCTTGGCCACTGGCCCTGCCAGCCCCAAGTACTCACGTTGGCCACCCTTCGCCTGTGGAGACGGTGAAGAGCGTGAGCAGAGCCCACAGGACATTGTCATAGTGGAACTCGTATTTTTTCCATTCCCTGGGCTGTGCCTCCACCTCATTTTTTTCATAATCGAGGTACTGACCCCTAGGAAAAACAGAGATTCAGACCAAATGAGAGAATCAAACCAAATCAGGCATTTTTTTATGGCTCACTGAAGAGCATCAAAAAGCCCCAGTAGCAGAGGCTGAGTGTGCTGCAGATTAAAGGCAGAAAACCTCTGGGTTTGTCACACAAAAGCCATTTTTTTTTTAAGAGAATGCAACCTACAGGAACAATTTATGGCTCACTGAAGAGCATCAAAAAGCCCCGGTAGCAGAGGCTGACTGTGCTGCAGATTAAAGCCATTTTAATGGGTTTGTCACACAAAAGCCATTTTTTTTTAAGACTTTGCAACCTACAGGAACAACAGAATCATGGAATCATTTTGGTTGGATAAGACCTTTCAGATCATCAAGTCCAACCATTAACCCAGCCCTGCCAAGGCCACCACTAAACCACGACCCTCAGCACCACATCTACAGAGCTTTAAAATCCCCCCAGGGGTGGGGACTCCACCACTGCCATGGAACTGGACTTGAGGTCTAGAAATGAAAGAAATTGTAAATCAGGGCATTGGTTCATTAGGCACAGCCAGAAATCACAGCATTGCTGGTCCCCAAAGTGCCCGACCCCACCGTAAACTGGGGAAAAGTCTGTGGGAAAACTCCTGCTTCAGGGTTGGATCTAATTCCTAAATGGGTCTTGCTTTGAGGAGCTGAGGGGCCTGGAATCTGGAGAGCTCCCCTCCAACCTACACTTTCCTGTAATCTCACATTTCTGTCTGCAATATACTGACTTTATTGCAAGGAAGAATTGCAGTGACAGCCTTTGTGGCTGCTGGGGGGTCTCCAAGGAAGGGTGGCAGAAGGGGGTAACATGGGCACTGGACGCTGCTGAGGATGTGGTTTGGTGCCAGGAATCATGAAATTATTTGGGTTGGAAGGGACCTTAAAGATCATCTAGTTCAAATCACCTTGAATGGACAGGGACACCCCCCCCCAGCCCAGGCTGCTCCAAGCCCCATCCAACCTGCCCTTCAACACTGCCAGGGATGGGGCAGCCACAGCTTCCCTGGGCAACCTGGGCCAGGCTCTCACCACCCTCACACCAAAGAATTTCCTCCTAATATCTCACTTAAGTCTCTCCTCTTCCAGCTTAAAACCATTCCCATTCATCCTCTCCCTCCCTGCCCTTGTCCCAGGTCCCTCCCCAGCTTTCCTGGAGCCCCTTCAGGCACTGGAAGCTGCTCTAAGGTCTCCCTGGAGCCTTCTCTTCTCCAGGCTGAACACCCCAACTCTCCCAGCCTGGCTCCAGAGCAGAGCTGCTCCAGCCTTTGGATCATTTTCATGCCCTCCTCTGGACTCTCTCCAGGAGCTCCATGTCCTTCTTATGTTTGGGGGCTCCAGAACTGGACACAGTACTGCAGGTGGGGGCTAAAAAAAGAGCAGAGTAGAGGGGGGGAAGGCAAGTGAGAACAATCCACCTTGTGGTGGGTAACACCCCTTCACAGTGCTGCAGAGGACAAAGCCTGGCAGGGCTTTTCAGCTATTCAAATAATGTCCCTTTTTCTAGCTAATTAGGAGCTCTAACTTCCTATCAACTCACTTCTGATTATTTATTTGTTATGTTTTTCTGACCCCTAAGAATCAAGGTAGCAGACAGAAAGAGGAATCCCACCATCCCTGCAAAAACCCTTCACCATAAAATCTCCCCTAGGCTGCTCTTTAAGCATCTGGGTAAACAGTGGCTGGATCAGAGCCTGGAATCATCCACTCATTAAAGACCTAAAGGGCAAATTCACCTCTAGGGTAACTGTGCTGCAGCTTTGTTCTCACTTACAGGAGACACCTCAAGCTCAGCAGATTCCTGGCTGACTGAGGCAGCTTTGGGACAACCAGGGGAGCTGCTGCTGGAGAAAAGGTGGGTTCCCCCTGCACACCCTGCCCTGCTCCCTACCTGCAGTCCTTCTCCAGCTCCTTTGACTCATCCGTGCAGTAGAAGAACCTGCCTTTGAAGAGCTGCACAGCAATGACAGCAAAAATGAACATAAAGAGCATGTAAACTATGAGGATATTGAGGACATTCTTCAGCGAGTTCACCACGCAGTCAAAGACAGCCTGAGGACAGAGGAGAACAAGGTTAAAGCCTGGAGAGAAAGGAAAAGTGCATCTTGGTTTCTGATACCTAACTACACTTGGGAGTAATTAGCCAACCTACAACCCACGTGTGCTTGCAACCAAGTGTATGAATGGCCAAGAATCATGCTCCAGCTCTCAGAAATAACATCCTCTTCCAACACCTCCTGCTTTCCCAACGACCTTGGTTGGGTCACTGGATTTTCTGGTGCTGCCCATAAAATTGACAAAGAGCACGGCGAGGTAAATGTGAGTCCTGAGCAAATGTTTCCAATCCCACATCATAACATGAAAAAGATACTTGTGTTTCATTTATTCCCAGGGGATGGGGAAAAACTCCTCTGATCTGTTACTCACTCACTCACCAGTAATTGAGCTGTTTGAATAAGCAGAAAAATCTACCAGCTACCAAACAACTCAATGCTTGGAATAATACTTTCCTAATTAACTGTCTATCAAAATGAAGTGTGACTAATCTAGTCAGCATATGTCACTTCTGAACTCCCAGCAAAGAACTTCTCAAATAGATGTATTATTTGGTGATTAGTCACTGATTCATTGTTACAAGTAATTTGTAGTTTAATTTTAGTCGGAGAAGTTTGTCATAATAATAGAAATTGAGCAGTTTCACTGCCTGAGCTGGGGGGTTGTACAATGTAGTTCCTGCTTCTCTGAATTGAAATGAATAATTCACAAAATTACCCTCCTGATGCAAACCAGAAATCCTGAATTAAAACCCTGGGAATATCTCAAATCACTCCATTAATCTTGCTGATTGTTGCACACAGGGGAAAAAAAATACAATAAGAATTTCAAGAATTCTGAAGACAAACCACGTGAATCTGACCTTCTGCTTAGACTGCTCAATACTTCTTTAGAAATGGTTAAAATTACTCTGTGAAATGGCTCAAAAATAAGGAAGACATTCAACAAAAAGCAAGTGTTGAGCATCCTGCTGGAGGACTGAACTGGTTGATGACCCAAGAACTGTGTAATTCAAATACCTAAACAAATGAAGACCGTGGTTCAACATGACTCCCCCTTATCTTTTGAGGTAAATTCAGTCTGCATAAAAAATGTATGAAATCAAACTTATTTAAGCATGAAGTGTGGCTGAGGAGAAAAGCAAATCTATGCTACCAGATTATCTTTTCTTAAGTGCCACAACATGCAAACAGGAATTCTCAGACCTGATTTTATCCCTGCAAAACCACCCAGCACTTTCCCCCACCTCTCACAGAAAAGCCCCTGCAAGCAGTGATGCCTCATGAAGACAATCAACAAAAGGTGTTCAAAAGAGCCCAGAAACTCAGAAATTACTCTATTTTCTGACTCCTTCCATCCTCTGCTTCCAGGGGCTGGCAGCACATCAAAGAGTTCTTGAAATGATGTTGAATAAGTAACTACAGGCAATTAGATCCATTTCACTTTGTAACTTAGCATTTTAAAGATGAAAAAGCCCTGCTAGAAAACCCTGCACTGTGTATATTCTTTAATAGAAAAGAAGAACAGATTAGAGGTTTTCACACATTTCTTTTCAGACAGACTCTGGAAAACCTTGCAAGATTCATATGAAGTTCTCTAGGGAAAATCAACCACTCCAAACCCTATTTACTCCTATATTGTTTCCAAGAGCATCACACTTATGGGCTGTAATTAAATTTATTTTGCCCTTTTTTTTTTTTTTTTCCTTTTCTTTTTTTTTAGGAGTTGGATTTTCATCTGGATTCACAAGTATTCATGAAATTGCCCACAATGTTTGCAAAAGGAGCAAGGCTTTGACATTTGCTCAACAGCTGCACAGTTATTTTTAATAAATCTGGCAAAGGGATGAATGGCAACAAAATGAAAGCAACAGAAACCACTTGGATTAAGTTTACTCCAGCAGCTGCCACTCACGTGGGGTTGCAACCCCCCAGGAGGAGGAGATGGGTGGTTGTTCTCTAACCTTTAGTTTTGGCAGCCTTTTGATGGTCTTCAGTGGTCTCAGGACCCTCAGGACTCGCAGTGACTTGATTGTGTTGATGTCCTTGCCTTTGGTTCCTCTGCAAGGGATAAAAGGCACAAGAACAAGAGGCACTAGTTTGGTCCTCAGGTCACCAATGGGCAGAGATCCCCAGGTGTTGTCCATGTGGGGGTGTTTTTTTGGTGGTTTTGGGGTTGTTTTACAGGGTTTGGGTGCCATCCTCCCCACGGATGCAGGCAGGAGTGGTGGGGGCTGCAGATGATTGTCCACCTGGGACTTGTGAATCCCCACGCAGGAGGAAGGCTGTGACAGGACGTGGTCCTGCCAGGGTTTGGCCTCTCATGCTCTCCAGCCTTCCCTCACTTCCTAGGTCCTCACCAAGCATCACCCAGGAACCAGTGACCGTTTCTTCCCAACTCCCCCCCCCAAGGCAAAGCTGGGCCAGCAGCATCCCTGAGCTGCAGCCACCAGGACAGGAGACTCAGGACATTCATCCCAGCCCCAGGCAGAAGTGAGAAAGTCACACTTGGCTCTCCTTCCTCCCAGGCTCCTGAGTGAGACAGAGGACATTTCTCCATGTGCTTCCAGCACTTCTCTGGCAAGTAGGCTGTCTGTAGACAAGCAGGCAGTGACCAGAGGAAACAGGAGTCTTCAAGGTGAGGGACAGGGCTCTCCTGGAGACAAGAGCTGCTCTCCTGCTCTCCATACCATACCCTCATCCTCAGGTCTCTCTTGGATAACATGCTGCCAAACCCATGCAGGACCATGTAATATGACAGCATATTACATGCCTGGAACAGTGTTAGGGCAACTTCCACCCAGGCATGCAGGTGATGTAGTCACAGCTTGGTTTTAGAGTTTGTTAAAACTGTGCAAGACTGGAG